TGCCAAACCCTTCCTCTGTGCTTTCCAATTTTGCAACACATTTCATCTGAAGTTGAAGTCCCACAGTACCCTACTGTGTGAATATAGCACTAGTGGAATTCCTAAGCCTGAAGCTCACTTTTGCTCAGAGGCAGCAATACAAAATGGTGTACTGCTTAAATCTCATTTATACTCTGTTCCAGGATTTAACAGTGTGTGCAAATTCTGCCCTTTTGGGGTGGGGGGTGAAGTTCATCCTAAAATGAGAGCAAAGTTTAAGGCAGGCTTGATAAGGCAGGTGCCTAGTGGGATTTAAAAAGTTCTATTGGTTCTTCCACAGACTTACTTTAAATGATTTGTTCATCATCTTACTGTAGATTAGATTCCTGATTCTGTGATATCCTACTCCAGTCACAAGACCTTGAATTTTACAGTCACCTACTTAAAAATGTCTCTTAAAAAAACCCCCAACAAAACCAAAACAAAATAACCACCAAACTTAAAAAACATCAGCCACTTACATGAGTACCAGAAACCAACAGCTGTTGTGTCCAGCCTCTGGCCATTATTATTGTAATATATGTGCTATAAGAGTACAGAAAAAAGAGAATGGTAGGGTTCACAGACTTTAAAGTATGTATGCAGCTGATGTTAACTTCTTTGAACAGGCTCAAATTCTATCATTTAGCCATAGAAATTTGTGTTATTTATACAAAATAATGAATTAATAAATTACTTTTAAAGAGATACATTTATGTAATGTATTCAATAAATTTACAGTCAAATGTGTAGTAAGCTTATATAGTAAAAAAAGGTGTTACAAATTATGTTACAATCTCATATTCACATGCCATACTTTATAGGCAAAATTTTCCTGCTAAGGAGACAACTTGTTCTTTGGTCCAAAACATTTTATTTTAGCAACATTCATAATACAAAAAGAATCACTAAGTAAGTGTAGTTGTAACTGTTGCTAAAATTGCAGTGGTTCACACTAAATAGAGTATTAGAAGTATACATGTCATAAATTTAAAACTCCAAAATAATGCAATGTGAGATACCAAACTGAGCAAGTATTCAAACAGCATGTTTGGAGGCTTTGAGAAAAGCATCCAGATCCAATTAGAACCATTTATTGACATCTGTAGTTTTCTTTTAACATTCCTATATATGTTGCTAGATATTGTATATTTTAAATGTTCCTGCTTCTCATTGTTTGAAACTGAAATGTCTTTTTTTTTTTTTTTTTTAATATCCTGATGCTTCTCTGGTGCCATTTAAATCAATGGCAAGTAATTCTTGTAATAAATTGAACAGTACTAGCTATAATTCTTGAAGAATGACTTAGTAAAATACATACTTTTCTACGCATCCTTTCAGTATATAAGCTAAAATTTTTACTGCTTGTATAGTGATTGAATGATTGCTTTTAATACCATTTACTATTTCTATAGATATAGTTAAAACTGTGTAGAGCTTAGACTCTCTAATAAATAGATAGTGCATATTGTACGAATATTTCTTGCTTGTAGGAAGCAAGACAGTAGCTTACAGTTTAACAGTGGGTGCATTTGTGGGTGAAATTCAGTACTGGGAAGGGGGCCAGTTCCCAGTGATTTCATTTTTCAGTATAGAACATTAATGCAGAAATCTTGCACTAGCCAAGGGAAGCCAACTGCCCTGACCCTAATCATCCAAAATGGTTCTATGGCTAGAAGCCACAAGACGTTGAGTACGCAGCCTGGGGAGAGGGGAAGCCCAGGAGCAGGTAGCAGCTGGCACTGGTTCCTTGAGTCGAGGGGAGCACTGGTGCGGAGGAGGACTGGGCAGGCTGTTCGGCTGCCCTAAGGCACTGCCAGCTCCAGCAGCCAGTGGCTCACATTCCCCTACAGGAGGCTCCTGTGTGCACACTCTTAGCAGGGCCATTGTGCTTGAACTGGTTTGGGAATCACAGGTTAACTTCCCCAGTTCTCATCCTGTAAAAAGAAGTACTATTTCCCTTATGCACTCTGTTGGAATTCTGTAACTGCGATGTAAGCACTCTATTTATTCAATTTCCCTCAAAGTATCCTGTTTTAGGACAAGAAAGCATCAAACCATGCTTTAAAACTTAATCAAATATATTTCATAAAGAATTAGCATGTGTTAAAATAGTATAATGTGCCTTTCTAAAGAATTATGATCCCGAGCATGGTAAAGACAATCTCTTCTGTGAAGCTGGAACACAATGACTTGTCCTTTCAACTTACAGATCTTCTTTTGTTCAGAAAAAGGGTGGAGTTAAAAAGGCAGGCAGTAAGGATTTTACCTTTGTCATGAATCCATGAAATACCTTAGAATAAATCTAAGTTTAGTCCCACCAAAATAACTAAAGGAACAGTAACAGAAATTCAACTGAAAAATAGGTGTCATATTTTAAATGTACTTCTCAGCACTGTATTCAACGTTCAGGTTAGCAGCTGAATCTCCTTCCACATTAGTCAACCAGTTTGTAATTGACTTCAAAACGAGACTGTTTGATTGCATAATTTGAACTGTGGCTACACCTTCTTACCTTCAGTTAAGCTATTTCTTCTCTGTGTTTTCTTAAATTATTCTAGTTGGAAGCTAGTTGGTTTCTCAGTGTTTCATAATGGAAACGGTGTAGAACACATAAAATCAGAAGAAAGAAATTGTTATTTTCCCTGACCAAACTAAAGAGTTTCAAAGTAGGATTCTGGGCTTGAGAAGTATACTGTGACCACGATGTCTTCCTGTTGCCAAGCCCTGTGGTAGATACTGTATTCTTGTTTTGGTGATGAAGTAGGTTCCTACACCACAAGTAAATGTTGTTCCTACAAAATGGAATAATTCTGAAGTCAGCATGATAGTTAAAGCTCTTGGCTTTCAGAAAACTGGGACTTAAGCAGCAAAAATTTTATTTTTGATTCAGTGCTGTTGTTTTGATTCAGCTTTGATTCAGTTGGCTGGTTAGAATATTACTTTTTGTGCGGTCATAAAATTCTCTCATGCCACTCACGGTTGTGCACTGATGCTGTGAAATGCAAGAGAATCCCAGGCACATGTAAAAAAAATATCAAGTTGCCGTGGAAGATTTATTGGTGAGGCAATGGTCAAATTCTTTCTTTATAAGCAATTCCAAGCCTGGAACAGCTTCCTTGTCTCCAGCAGATGAGAACGAAATCTGGCTCGTTTAATCTAATTTTGTCTCCGCCAACAGATCCTTCTCTCTAGTTCTGATCTGCAGAGCTGATTTTTATAATAGCTTCAATATAAAAAAAAATAAAAATTAAAAAATCTCAGCATAGAGAGGCTCCAATGCTTCCTCTGGATGTTTTGTAACTCCCACTGTTAACCAGCAACTATGCATTTTTTTTTTTTTATTTTGATAATGACTCCTGGAATACAGGAAGATCTAACATTTACTCAGACAAAACGATTTATCTTGGTACAACAGGATCAGTATCTCAGCTGGGGCTTCTGGATACTACTCTACTACAAACAAAATAAAAAACCCCAGTCAGCTGAAATTAATATATTGGAGACATGTCCTTACTCTCCTTGAACATGTTGAGGATATTAAACCAGAACACAATAAATTGAGAGAAATGGATTTTTCCATAAATATCAAACACGTTAGATAGCTGCTATCACTAATAACCAGCAGTGCTTCTTAAAATATTGCTACAACATTCTTAATGGATGGTTTTCCTTGTGGCTACGTAGGCATGTGTACAGTGCTAGCTCCCCCCTCCTCTTGCGCTGCAATACGTAGGAAGCTATTATTCCCAAATGGAGCGTTTGCTTGCTGACATCACATGCGGTAGGATCCTTTTGTTTGCCTGTGTCTCCTGCATTGAAATGTTTGTCTGAGTCACAAATCCCGCCGCCTTTCTTCCTCTATGTCATGCTTGCTCGAGAGCTTCTCCCTGACTCACAGTTTTTAAATTTTGACACAGTCCAGTTTGCTGCATGGCAATCAAATACTTTTAATATTTTATTATGTAATTTATACCTAAACATTATAATGATGCAAATATCTGCTGCTTTTTTTGCAGCTTTTTCAATAGAGAGGTTTTGTGACTCAGATTCAGCACTGAATTTTGTTTCAAGCCAAAGTCAGTTTAGTGTTACTAAATTAAAAATTAGAGACTCCCACAACTTGAATTCTCCATTTAGCCTGCTGGCTGAGTTTCCTCAGCTATAACGTTATCAAGCACTATGCCAGAAAGGGGTCATATGTGTGCATGTGTACAAACACTTCTCATAATTGAAGTAATTACTATTTTGCACTGCAGTACCTCTCCTCTCCTCTAATAATCTTATCGACTTTTTTTCTCTTAATAAAAGGAGGACAAATCCCTGCTGTATTTTCAGTGTACATTCATTCTTTCATTTGGTTTAGATTCTGGAGCTGCTAATATATTGGTGGTGTCTAAGAAGCCTGGCTCTTTAATAAAGCCACAAACAAAACAGATCCTGATTACAGAACCTTTATTCTGAATGCTTTGGTAAAAGAAGATGGAAGCTAAGGGCTGTGCAGCAGTTTGGTTCAAGCCGGAGTGACAGTAAAATATTCTTTCTTACTAAGATAGGAACATAAAATCACCATGCTGGATTAAATCATCTGTCCTTCAGAGCTAGTCTTTCATCTCTATTGTTACCACTACAAGATAAATGAGAAGTTCAAAACAATGCTTTGATTGTCCTTGATGAAGGACTTTGCAGCAGGTAAGGGCTAATGCCCCAATTTGGCAGAGCATTTAGGCATGTATTTATCTTAAAGCACCCATCAACAGCTCCACTGCCTTCTGCCCTGGTCTGAAGCATGTGAGCAGATTCCTGCATGAAACCTTGTTAAAATTCAGATACATACAAAACCAGATGAGTGATCAAGACTTGTGTCATTAAGTGGACTGTGTTAGATGCTCGCATTCCATTGTTTTTTTTACCCAGAGTAAAGACAGTAGTTGTATTCTCCATCTCTCCCAAAAAAGCTGAAGTCTCTTGTTGTAGAAAACATAGATTTTTATTATAAAAGTAAAATTATGCCATACACAAAGGAATTTTCTGCGACAAATTTGCATACTGCAGTCTTAATGTTAAAATAATGTCCAGAGCAGGAATTTAAGTTAGAGTCTCTCAGGCTACCTTTGTTGCATGTTCACTATGCAACTCTTCTCACGTAGCACATTATCTTTTCAACATTCAACTTCTGAATTGCTGTTACTTTTCCTCTTCTCTCCGTGGCCGTTTGCGAGGGTTCATTTCAGTACCTTCTGCATTTTGAGTGACAGCTGGAGGCTGCACATCTCGGAAGCCATGAGACTGGAAGATATAAGCAAAATCATGTGATAACACTTCTACGGACATAAGCATGAGTAACTAGTTCCCAGAAGGTCAGAATAAGGTATGATGCTGTCATTTATTTTAGATGAACAGCTACAGAACATTTATAGACCAGGCTAAGCTCAGAACGACAAGCTTCTCAACACACATGCCAACTAATAAATGTGTGTCCTCATTTTATTTTTTAAAGATATTTTATTTTCACCAACCAGGCCATCATTTTCATTTTACCACTAATAACCCCTATGGCTATGAAGCACTGCTTCTCTGTAAATTAACTTATCTTGCCTATTTAAATAAATTAAAAGCCAAATCCTTCAGCCCTTATTCAAGCTCCCACAGAAGCAAGGAGATGACTGGATTAATTGCCTCAGTCATTTTCAGAAACAAAACCGTGAGTTTCTAAAACCTAGGATATTTTTATCTATCATCTACTTAATGAACTGAAACCATCAATGAGACATTGTAAGAGAACAGCATATCTGAATCAGTCTCTAGACTGCAAACACTGTTCCAGCACAGTAATTTATGGGACACAATGGGATGAGAACCTTTAACAGCCCAAAACTATGTAGATGTGAAAACCAGATGCTGCTACTCAGGAGAGAGCTTAAAGTGATCTATCTGGCCTAGTACCATTCGTATTTTCTGTTACCTTAGCTCACAATTTAATGATTTTTGAAAGATTTTAAAATATGAAAGATCTGGAAAAATCAGTTAGTTAAACATGTCAAAAATGCAGATGGAGATACTGAGATGTTATGCAAAGCCTGCAACTGTCTTCCCATCTCCAAATGCTGTGCAGTAAGCACTGCTGACAGCTCAATGAAGACTCTCACTGCAGTGCAAACTTAGCAAGGAAAAGGGGTTAATCAGAAAAAGAAATTGCTTTGGAGATCCTAAACACTTGGGTAGAGACAATGTGGGGATGAGAGCATTTCAGGAAAGCTGACATTTTAGGTTGGTGCAGTGTGAAAAAGCAGGCAGAATTACTATCAGACATGTGACTTCTCTAAAATGCCAGTGTGTCCCACACCAAGATCAATCCAAAACAAAACCCAATCAAAATGTTTTCCTTAACTCTCCCATCTCTGTATTTCTATTTCTGAACACCTCACCTCACACAGCCTGCTACGTTTTCAAAGGAACAAACAGCAAGAGGTGCCACAAGGGCAGAATTTGTGCAGTCCCTCTGCTATTATAAGCAACTCAAGTGTTATTCTAAATAGCGTAATGGGGAATCTTCAAGTTTAGTGTTTCACTGCTGCTTACATCTAATCTCTGCCATTTCCCTTAGGCACAAAGGTGGATCTGTAGCCAAGAATCCACTTAATCCAGCATGCTAGACTCCCAGCAAAAGCATTCCAATGGTTATAAAGGCCAGAACACGATAAAGTAGGCTGCTTAGTATGGATGTTTTGCATTTAGCTAAAGGCATGTACCTTCTGGGGATAGCGCCTTGAAAATACAAGAATTTTGTGTGTATTTGTAAAGCTTGTTAGTGGTTTTCAGATGGACAGAACATGGCTAATGGAACCAAGGACCGACAAAGCTCACATAGTCTACAGTAATTTTTAATTGTTCTTTAATGTCTTCTGGCATCTACAGACTGCATCAAGATTCACAAAAGTAGATGGCTTTATTACTTGAGCGGTATTCTCATTGCTAGTCTGGCAGACCCTCCACAGTTCAGGGAAGTACTGACACTTCCTACCCAGAATACAGGTCCCGGCTCTCTATCTTTCACGATGAAATAATCAGGTCACATTACCTGGGAAGTTTAAGTGAATCAGATTATTGACTTACTCCCTTGTGCATAAATCTACATTTCTATACTCTGCATTTAAGAATGAATCCTTATCAGCCTGTGAAAGAAACTCTATTTCATTTGATAGGTGTTCCACAGCTTCCACACTTGCTCAGAGTGGTGACAGACATGCCAGTATGCTGGAAAGGACGCAGCTCAGAAAGAACTAGAGCTTGGTTACACACTTCTCCATCGGCTTACAGGCACTCATCAGCCAGTTTGTCAAGGGTACCAAATTATCTGATTTGCCTAAGCGTAAACATCTTTGAGGATCTCAGGCTTGAGGAATTTAGATTTTTTAATTTTTTTTTTTGTATGCTGGTTATACATAAATGTGCTAGATCAGATTTGGAAGCATTGAACATGTATTTACATCTTCCAGTTCAACTACTGAGATGGGAATGAGAACCTGTAACAACAGACCGTTACCATCAGACCTGAATTTCATGAAAGAAACAGGGATAAGACATTTTTTATTTACAGAAACTGTCTGCTGAAGCAGCTCAACAGGATTAAGGGAAAAAACACAGGGATAATCTTAAGTTTTAAGTAATCTTTGATTAGGATACACTCTCAACCGTATTTCAAGATTGTGTGCATTCACAAAGAAGAAGAGAGCATAGCTGTTTTATAATGCATGTAAAACTGAAAGGAAAAGGCAATTAAACTGTTGAAGATAAAATCCATCTGTTTGTCAGCTGGAGAGAAAGGGCTGCACACTCTTATCACATGATCCAAACAACCTTGGCATGTAGGCTCACTTACCCTTCCAGTCTTTACAGAACTAAGAACATACATATCTGCAGTATTTCTTCTGTCCAAGTGAATACATTCAGGAGTGAAAGAAAATCTGATTTCTGTTCAATAGTTTGAAGATCTCATCTTATGGCAGCATTAAAATCTGCAGGAAATGCTATGGCAACGTGTTTCCATGAGGACACATAGCAAATAGTTATGGCATGTACCTATGTATCTGACATTTGAAGATATAAGAGTTGAGTGGTGGGGGTTTTTTTAAACCTAAATACAGCTTAGATGGTGTGTATTCTCATTAATATGTATCTAAGCACTCCACAAAATAATCACAGAATTTAACTAGGGATGAATAAGGACGCCAGCCATAAGCTGGAAGCTCCTCATATGATAGTGACAGAAGAGATAAATCTGTATATATTGGCTGGTCACAGGGTCACCAGTTCAATGGAGCTATGAAAGAGATAAATACAACCGAGGTTATATCAGGCAACGCACTTAAAGCAGAGATGTGGAAATATGTATGGCACAAAGCGCTGGAGAGACCTCTGAAATACCATGTATGATTCTGGTCACCCTTGTCCTAAAAAGATAAGCTCAACTGGAACAGGTGCAGAGAAGAGCCACTAGGGAAACAACAGCCTACCTGACAAGGGAGAAAACAGCTTGGGTTGCTGAAGTGTCCCAAAATGAAGGCTCAGAGAGTGCATGATTGTTCTCTGTAATTGCACTTGGGCCAAAAGTTAACATCAAGGGCAGATAAAATAAGCAGTGCTAGCGCAAGAACAGATGGGGACAGGCTGACTGTAAATTTGATCTGGAAATCCAAATGTTTTAACTCTAAGAGGACTAACATGCTGGATCATTTTTCTAAAGAGAAAAGGTGAAAAATATTGATAAACCTGGAGACATCCCAGTATTGCCGGTTACCTTCAGAAGGCAACTGAAAGGCAACACTAAGAAAGCAAACATCATTCTCAGATTTGTCTATGTGTCTGAAAATTCCTTTACAGCTAACAATTTACTCCCATCTCTGTATCTCCATCCCCAAAGGAATACTAACTGTAATTTGATATGGTATGGTTGACTCCTTCTGACTCGGTGATTTGTACAACGTTGCCAACCTGGTTAAACAAAAATAGATAACTATCATTAGTGAATACAATAATAAAAATCCCAAGTAACCAAATAACCAGACCCAAGTTTTCCCACAATCGTGGGGTAGGTGACCAGTGGAATTCTTATGTATTCTTATTTTCATATAAGTCATTTAAACTGTGGATGCTGATGTCCCATCCTTATATGACCTGTCAGCTCAAATACAACGTAGACCTACTAAAAAGAGTGAATGACTAATTAGCCTTGTTTCATCACAGTATTTGATCACATTTTTGGAACAATACTCATTATGAATTCATTCCAAATGCCACTTTCTTAAAATGCAAACAAGAAGGGTTTTGAACACAACTCCTTCCTACTCCATTAAGCAATTGTTTGTTCATTGACCTCCCAAAGTTGGGAGATACCCTCAAGAATTCAAATACTTCTAGGGAGGTTTTTTCTAGAGATTTCACAAGCCTGTCAATATAACCTAGTGGATGGAGAATAAGATGTTCTATTTCTAAGCCTGACCTTGCCACTGACATACAGCATAACCTTGAAAAAATCGTTTCCCTTGTATTTCTCCTCTAACACTTCCCTGACTTTGTGCATTTAGACTCTAAGCAATGCATCTTGATTTGTGCTTATACAGCACCTAGCCCAATAGATGCTTGCATAATATAGATAGAAGATTGCAAAGCAACTCAAAAGCAAGGGATTTTCCAATCCAGTCCCAGGGCTGCTAGTCTGCACCCATGCCCACCTCCCCAAAACTTACACTTAGGTAAAGCCAATATAGAAAGTGTTCTGCTCTCTGTATCAAGACACCCTGCCAAAGATCCTGTTAATTATTTTGGGGTTTTTTTTCCTCCCTGAGGTGCCATTCTATTAGACAGCACATAATTACAGCCTGAGGAACACTGCCACTTCATATTAGCTACACAGGGAATTCCTCAGAACATTTAAGTGGTGGGTTATACTTTACAAAATAGCCTAAATCTGAAGCTGCAGAAGCTATGCCTTTACAAGCGCTCAGCTGGAGCTCTGCTGCATGCCTCTGACTCAACAGGATCTTGCCTCACAGCAATGAGAACCCTTATAATTAAGCTCTGATATTTTCAGTAGTAGATAGAAGGAAAGAGACAGGTATCATATCTGGCCAAAGCACAACTTTTTTTTTTTTTAAAAAAAAAAAGGCAACTAGATTCTCAAATGGTCATCTTTGTGTCTTAATAACCTAATATAAAAACAAGAACAACAAACCCATGATGGATCATCAGGTGTAGGTATGTAGGCAGTTCATGTAAAAAAAAAAATGCAAGAGAATCTAGTGATTTCTGCTTTTTATAGATAGGCAGTTGCAATCGGAATTGTTATGCTTCTGCAGGCCCTGCTCCATACTAGCTGCATATTTAGAACAGCAAATAAAACATGTTTGCCTATCTTTGGCTTGCTTTCTGGAACCTGCATCTATAACCTTCCTAGCTGTGTTGCAGAAGAAAAAAGCTCTTTACTTTTGATATATAAAATTAACTTCTGTTCACTCCGCAATCATTATGTTGATGCAACTTCTCTCTTATAAAGACTGTTAACTAATCAGTGATGTTAATTTAATTCCAAATTAAACAGCCTGCTGTAATCATTCTGCATTGCCTTCAATCTTAGAATTTAAAAAACAAAACTCCACAAGAAAGTGTCACTGCATCTCCCTTTCAAGTTTAACAAGCAAAACTACGCACAACAACATTCCAGTAGCATTTTTATTTGCTGTTTGCAGAAGATTAGGGAATTGAAGCAAGGCTTCTTACTCTCAAGTTGCTGCATCGTGATACTATATGCAAGACAAATTTAACTGACCAGGAAAGAGAAGTGAGCTTGCAATATAGTGAAGGGGGGAAAAAAGAACAAGGAAACAGAAAAGATCTCATTGCAACAGACAGAACTTGATACTGTTTTTAGAAGGGTCATCCTCATTCCTTTGGGCTTCTAAAATCATCTTCCATCAGTCAGCTCTGCATTGGCAGTAAATGCAGCTCTCTTTCTACCACTCTGCAAGTTGTTGTAACTTGCTATCTGCATAGCTGTCCAGTTTTGCAGAACCATCCTGCTGCATTCAAAAGGAGAAAGGTCCAATGGGTGCCACTGAGGCTCAGGGGTCAATCTGTCTTCCTCAGAATCACTATCTAGGTGGAAAGCTGCCTTTGGCATCTTTGGCTTTGTACTGACTGGGGCCTAAAAGACTGAAACAAGGAAATTCTACTCCCTGCTTATAAAATGCAGGTAGTAAAAAAAAAGTTTTTACTTTGCCACCAGATCCTAAATTCTTGTGTCTGAGCAACTGCCATTAGGATATTATATTTTGATGAGACAGGGCATCTTGTCAGAAAGAAAGTGCAGAACTGCAGCAAGCTGACCATGGTGAAAAGGAGAAGCACGACAGTGCGGCCCACACTGTCTTAGGCTGAGCTAGAAAGCTCTTCTTGAGCCTCAGTAGCCTGGGACATGGCAGATCAAGAAGCCAAATTCAAATCTCTGCCTGGTCACTAGGACCAGCCTGAAACGGAGTCTCAAACGTCACACTTGCATTATGATGTACGTTACTGGTACTTCACTTACCTCTGACTGTTGTCCCAGTGAAAGATTAAACGGACAGTAGCAGCATGTCCCCAGCTTTCTCCTGGGTGACACAAAATTACAAGCCATTTTATTCATCTCCTACAACAGCAGCATCATCACTAAACTAAACTGATATTAGACCAGTCTTCAAAAAACCCCCCATGATTAAAACATATATACCTTTCCTGCAGTAATGAATCACATCTTTTCCATATGTGCAAAGATTTCACAAATAGTTTATCAAATATATTGAGACAAGGAATAACCTCTGTACTCACAGTGTGAAAGTTTGATGCAATGCTTCCATATCTGTAGAAAGGTTTTATATATACCTAATAAAGGACAGGTACTAGACAAATCTTGAAAACAGAGGTAGCATGAAGAAAAGATTTTTCTAATTACTACTAAAGAAGTCTAGTCAGTATGTCTAAATTCTACTTCAAAATTGCAATATTCTGTCTCTCAGGCATAATTATGAGCAAACATCACTCCCTCTGGGATACAAGCTTTGGGAGAAAGTCAATGATTATTAAAGTATTAAGGGCCCCTGAAGCAGTCTTCTGCTTCTGACAGCAAAATGCAAAAGAACACAACCAAAAGAAGCAAGGGGCAGGGGGAAGAGAGAAGGAAGTTTGGATTGTTATCCTATTTCAGGGGAAACAGTCCTACTGTTTCAGTTCACACATGACCACAAGCTCAGTCCATTTATAGACAGTTTTATTGGGTGTTTTCCTCTGTTTATCCCAGGAGACAGTCCAAAGACAGACTGCATTTTAAAACAGCCATTTTGGTTAAGCGCTGCAAGCCTCTCCTATTCACCTGTACCCAGCCCTGTAACTTCTGAATCACTTGTTGGTCTCCATCATGTCACCAGCCCCACAGGCCACATTTGCTCTGCTATTCATTACAGCACAGAGAAGAAAAAAAATGATTCAACTGTACTGAAGACCTAGACCCTCTAGGCATCTTGCCAGACCTTGCTCCACTGTATCTAAGTTGAGATTAAAGCTTGTGGCTATCAGATACAGTTCCGAGTCAGAGATCAAAACACATTTTACAGTGGGTACAAATTCCACATCAGAATGTTTCCAACTGTATCGAATATGAGAGAAAAATGCTACTGTAAAATGAGATATTTCTGAGTTAAACTGGCTAGAGATTAATATTTGACCTTCTTTCTAAATATATCCAGTAGAAATGTCTAGGAACACCCAGCTTAGCTATCACTAGTGGAAAAGAAAGCTGTCCCCTTCATAAAGCTCTTGACTTAGTATCTTGCAACATCTGTGCCTTTTTTTTTTTTCCCCTTCATAATTAAGAACTTTCCTTCTGCTAGGAAGCTAAATAAGAGTTTAGAGATTAATGCTCTTGTGAAATCTTGGAAAAGGTTGTTTCTAAGGCCTACCAATCAATGGGGAAAAAGCCTATTTAGGGGAGGCAATAGGATCGATTTTACTTGGGGTTTTGCTGCCGACCCCTCCTTCAATAGCTCCTCTGGCTACAACCAACCATGGAGGACTAGGAGGTTCTTTAGCCTTTTCGATGAGACTGTTGAAATAGCATCCTTTCAGAATGGGTCATAAAAATCACCTTTAATCCACCAGCTCAATACTTGTACAGAATCTATGGAATAAATTCACATCAAAATGAAAACACCTTTGTACCACTCTGAAATTCTCAACCTGAGATATTGTTGTTTAGGATGAGGGGAATATCTCTTAGCTTAAATTACCAACTGGTACAAAGTTTCATTTTTGCAAGAGTAGACACTACTCAGTTTAACACCACTATGTGGTTACACACATGTTCTGGTGAGAGTCACAGTAAGTTTATGGTCAATATGAGGTTATGTCAAATTAAATGTTTGTAAAAGAAAATATGCGCAAGACAATACACGATATCTTTGAATTATAACCTACTCTGAATGTCTTTACATTCTTTACTGTCCCTGTGACTCAATCAACACAACAGCTCTCAAATAACACTAGCTATTGAAAAAAGACAGAATCTATTAGCTTTAGTTGAGTTTGTAGCCAGAAAGGCTGCCAAAAATAATACATGAGAGAGCAAGAGGCATAAAAGACAAAAAGGGTCAGATACTGGAAGCTGAGTCTTTATCTGCATGCACAGCTCAAAATTCCACATTCTTCACATTCTCAAAGGAGCTGGTCTGTATTTGTTCGTTTTATCTCCCATCTGTGTCAAATGGTTCAATGCCTGTACAGACACTGAGAACATCTTTGCCTTTGTGCTATCCCCTTCTTCTCCCTCCCCTCCAAAAGAAGAGAATTACTTAGGTCACAGAAACTGATGCTGTGGACAGCGAATTTGCGCCCTTTAAGTGCATCATGAAATAATATAAAATCACAACCTGAAATAAAGACTTAAACACTGAGCTTTTTCTTAATTTCTCAAAATCTCTACTTCAGAAGAACTGTTCTATTTTCCTCGGTGACCGCAGCAGCACAGTCTACATACTCTGCTCGTTACAGGGCAAAATGGAGCAGGCTGTAAAAAACACTTAAACTCACTATGGGCAGGCTGCAGTTGAGGATCCAACATAGAACTTCCCTCTACATCATAACTATAGAGAGCAACAGGTAGAGAGTTCCAGTTATGCACCAAATATGAAACATCTTTGCAAATAATTAACGGAACGTGTTCAAGTCTAATAGCAAAATAAACAATTTAAACTGTTTTTGAGAGGCAATGAACGATTCTCAGGGAATTTAGAAAACTGCAGCATAGTTTGAGGTGAGCAACCATTAAGCTGTGTTCTTCTGTCCCTACTTTTTTTTCTATAATCATTCACCAGCCAATTTCAGTCTAAATTACCTGATTTATCACCAGTTTACTTATTAAATACCTCAAGCTTACCTGGCCCACTTTTGGCAGAAACCGATTGGGAGGCAATCACATAAACAGCTCAGCCAGCATATAGGATGCGGCAGCGACCTCCAGCAGTGGTAGTGGCCTCCTTAGCTGACACAGCTACAGCTGGAACAGAGGTAACTCCACAGCCTAACATCATCCTCAGGGGAACGCTGCAATACATTAGCTGTGTGTCTAAAAACCTACTTACTCAGAGAGTTCTTAGTACCTAGTGCTTCCCCATAAAGGGTGATTCAGTCACCTTAAGGAATACCAATAATAATATCAAGTTTAGTATTAAAAATTATGGTTTAAAAAGGAAAAAAAAATAATCCAGCAACACTCTCAACCTGTGAGTTTCTGCAATCTGAAAGTGTCATGACTTCTAAAAATATTTGTAATCCCTTCTCCAAAATCTAACCAAGATTCTAATCTGCATACCGTGTTTGTGTTTAGAATAAAAAATGATAGTTGCTAATTATAATTACAATGCTGACATAGATAAGCACCACTGTAGCATTCCACAATGCTAGCAGTTCCAGATGCATCTAATAGTTTCACCATGGATTCTGCTACAGTGCAGAAATTCAGCAAACAATTTCATTGTCTTTGTACACAATGCCAAAAGGAAGGAAGTAATATATTTGAAGATTAACTCAGTTTTCAACTCACAAGCTAAACACCTACCTAAAGCAGGTACCAATGTGGACTGTCTTTGTCCAATCCTTGTTGTCATTTGGTTTGTCAGAACTACCTAAAAGAAACAAAAGCAAACAACAAGAAAATCTCCAGAAAAGCAGCATACTGGTGGGAGGGAACAGAGGGATTTTTGAAAAAGCATTTTATCAAGTTACTCAGGCAAAACTCTTGCCTACTGTATGTAATGAAGCTTTCACGTTAATGAGAAGAAAAAACTGTAAAGGTGCCTCATCTTTCCTCAATAGCCAAAAGAAAATAAGAAAACCAGCAAAACGTATTTTTGATTTGCACGGAATGTAGATTTCTTTCATTCAAGACTTTAAAGAAACCTAAATTTCTCCCTTTCCGAGTGATGCAAACTCTACAGAACTTGTATATTCCACCATATTTGTACTGAACACTGATTGGATCTGTATTTAGATGCACATGACGCGTCCTAGCCCTCTATAAAGAGGTAGACTTCAGTTAATGTGGCACAAATGAACTCGTTGGTGCTGCTCAAAACATGCATAAGCCTAGTGATTAACAGAATTTCTGCACCTTGTAGTCTAAAAATGCGCAAGTGGGTACAATACAAAGCAGAATGAAAGTGAACAGACAGAGCGGGGGAGTGTTTTCGCAGCACAAATCACTCGTAGGAGGTTCACAGACAGTCTAGGTTAGATCCCTGGTAGAAGTGGGGGTGGGTGAGACAGAAAAGAGCCAGAAATGTTAATTGCAAAGTTCATTAAAAATGAAAAATAAAAAATTGTACCTATCTTAAACCCTAGGGGTTTTCATTGTTTGACATGTTTATACGATTCTTGCTTGAACAGTTAGAAGAGTATGCTAGAGCAAACAATTCCACTGAGGACATGGGACACACACCAAAACACTGACATAGCTGAAAGCCCCAAGACATACATTGCATATTTTAGAGAAGTAACTCATCATGTATGGATGGTAACAGCCCCAAATAGGCTCCCCATCTCACTGCTGGAGAAGGGCTGGTCTGGGCATCCTAGCACAACCCACTGAGTTCGGCTTTAGAAACTAAAGGAACTTATTTCCTACCGTATTAGAGCATTCAGGCTTCCCAGCTCTGCTGCCTGACAAGCCGTCTCTGGCACACAAGCTGAATTTAGACCGCTTGCAAGCTACATGGAGCTAACTCAAAAACTAATAGGGCCACTCTGAGCTAAATAATTTCTGAAGCTCTGTGATTGATCACTTCTTTAGCAAGTGTTTGTTTAGCAAGCGTTTGTACTAAACTGCTCACTTGTTCAACAGAAATAAGTTATATGTTTCCTTTGGCCAAGGAAAAAAAGACTGTACAATGACAACTGCTCCTGTTCAAGGTCACCATGTACCCAATTTATGAGTGAAAGCACTCAGTAAACTGGAGGCTATACAAATCCAGGAGTCGTGTAACATTCATCTCCCTTGGTGCCCACACCAGCAGGAAGAAGCTTCATAATTCACGTCAGGGCAAGAGAGAGGGGACGCTTTCAGCAGCAAGCCCAATCGCCGAACCCAGGCGGAACGTAGAGCTGTGCTCCTTCCCTTCCTGCAGCTATCAGAGGAAGCACAAGGGGAGGCTTATTTTTAGCAGTTACGAACAAAAGCCAATTGCGCCAGAGAATTGTGGGTGACAAGGTTGCAAGTCACCTGGAAACAGTTACGGGGACAAGCACCATTTTGAGACTGTGCAAGCTCTAATTCCTGAACAATTCTTTTCCATGCTGTAAAAAGACTTGCCAAAACAACTTCTGGAACAGATGTAGCTTCTGAGTGCCATCTGCTGGCTACGTGGCTGCAGATTTGCTGGCCTCCATATTGGCGTAAATGACGTAGAAACAATGCCCAGGAAGCAAGCTATGGGTTTCCATGGATGCCAGAAGAGCAATCCAAACTAGCAGGTAAAGTGGTTTTCCTCCCTAAGAACAATTCTTCTGCTAAGACAGTAGTTTAGTTTTAAACAGAGTGGTAAATTATGTTGGAACTGCTCAATATTCTGATGTATTTTAATGCCTGCGCTTTGTAGGTAAAAGTCACCAAAGGAGCACTCTTTGTCCAACCAAATCATTAAAGAAGATGATGCGAAACAGCATGACAAACTGATATGCTACCATTTAATTAAGATCCACAGGATGCTTTTAATGCAAATTTGACTTATTTTGGCAAGTCTAGGAATTTTTCACCTGAACAGTTTTGCCTGTGTGATCCATCTATATTTACTAACCTAACTGGCAAACACAAATGCAGAGGACACTCTTGCAGTTTTATATTGCTATTTACAGACAATCACTAATCACATTTGCTTAATTCTTTGTAATGTAATTATTCCAAAGTAGCATCTTTTGTGATTTAAACCTCCCCCAGACTTACCGCTGATTTATGATCGTTTGCTATGATGATCAGCTGTTGCGCCAGACCGTTCAAAAGCCTTGTTCGAAGTGAGAGGTCCTCAAAGTCATGGCGAAAAGGAAATGCAATTCCATCAATTACCACCAGTCGGACCTAAATGTGGAAGAAAAGGAAAAAATACCATTACTGTCCTACCAACCAATGTCAGAAAGCAGTAAGATCTCTTTTTAAGAGCACTGGAATGTTTTATATAAGGTGATGACAATCTTTTATCTCTTACTCAGGTATGCATGACAGTATAACGCCTATTGTCTCTCTCTATATGTACACTGGAGAAAATAAGCACTCCACAAGAGCGCAGGCTAAAGAGCCTCAAGCTCCAAACACGCTGGTACACTCGCTAAGCGCAGTAGTGCATTATGCATAGATACTAGCTCAGACCTTAGCTGCACTAGCTTAAACAAAATGCTGCATTAAGCCCTCCCATTAGTTAACTCAGCACAGAGCTGCCCTTCCGACTGTTTCCAGTTTCAGAGCTCACTCACTTACAGCTAGCTGACTTATCTCTGCAGCACCTGGTACAGAATACAAAATAACAAAGCTGGACTTAAAGCCTTGCAGAAGAGAAGCTGGAGAAAAAGGAAATCATTAAACATCAGAATTGTACTTCAATCAGCTCTCTGTGAATATTAATTTATTTCACCTTCTCCCTCAAAAATTAAATCCAAACCAAAATTAGAATACATGCTGTCTGTAGTCACTGTTAACTCATCTGATTCTAAGGCTCATATCAGTGATCTATCTTGCCTGAAGTATCTATCTTGCCTGAAGATGTTTGCTTTGCTGAATTATTTCTTTTGCAGCAATCATTAGCTGAAGCTAGAGCACAACACTGCTGCTGGCTCATCACCCTCAAAACACTATACAAACATTAGTCTGGGATTTTGATTTATTCTAACTTCATTTGTTGTAGCTGTTTTGATGACCCAAGTTTGTCTGAAATACAGAAGGGAGATGGATAGTCTTACAGTGTCTGCATGTTCAGATGTCACTCAAAGCCTAGGTACCTACGAGTTCCTGCACTAATGCACAAGATAACAAATTGGAAACAACACAAGAAAACTGATTTTCTGTATTATTGATTTAACTCATTTCTGGGAAGTAGCTCTGTGACTAAACATACAAGCCTGCAGCAAACATCACTCTCTGAAATGGCCCTGGGGCTTCAACTGAAAAAAAAAATAAAAATTTTAATTTGAAAAAGAAGATTAAATAGTTATAATTAAAAGAAGATATTGTTTTCTCATTTTTCCTCCTTCCTGCAAATTCTTTTCTATGAGCCTGTACATCTTCTCATGCATAATTTTTTGACTTTAAGAACAATCAATTTAACAGTATAAACATGACTCATGTTAGAAAGGAATATATACAGTTATATAACTTGCCTATCAGATGAATATGTCCAGGTAGCATGCAATTTAGTTTATTTTCTCCCAGTGGCACTTGTTATAAAATAGCAAACAAGTAGACTTAAAATATTCAAAAGTAGCTATATAGAGAAAGCTTGGTAACACATACCTTCTCCATGTCAGTTGGTCTCTACTAGATCTTAAAGAATTGGGTTTATTAGGACAAGAATATTTTCTAACATAGTCTTTTTCATATTATTGGTCTTTCTCATATTATTAACAAGATCTCAAACTGATTCATATTTCCAAACGACACTTTCTACAACTATGTCTCTCAAAAAAAAAACCCCTAAAACCTGGAGGTTTCCTGTGGTCTCAGTCTCAGCTCCAGGTCTGCACAGAGGGATCAGACTAATTTTAATGAGAGCTGGACTGCAATGAGCAATCTGTCAAGTCACTTATAGCCTGTCCAAGGAACCACCAGAAGGTCTTACAGTTCTCCTGCAACCTTCAGTATTTCAGGCTCGAGGCCAAGCACAGATAATCAGCGCAGATGGTACCAGAGAACTGCAGCCCAATGTAACTGTGCTAATGAAGCCATGTACTTTCCACAAGAGCAAACACAACAGGGCACCGTTAGTACCTGGCAGAGAAAGGGAAATACCAGACTACACTAAGCAAAAGTAAGACTCCCATCTGTGCTTTCAAGAACATAACAGCTTCCAAAAATGGAAATGATATGCAAAAGACAATCTAACTAAACAACACTGATTTGTGCTCTGCTAGAATGAGGCACAAGCCATCTTCCCTGAATCCTGTTAGGGAGTGATCTGCTGTGCAGAATCTAGAAATCTGGAGGGGAGGTGGTGAAAATCTGCCTTACAATAGCATTTCACTAAGACACTAGGTACTAGGAAACTGTTTGGCTGTAGTCCACCCAAGAGTCAAGCTGCAGGCTCTGGTTGCTTGTAGCAACAGAAGATGTGTTGGAAAGAAGAGTCGTCACTTTCTGGATGCTAAGATGGTGCAGGATGCTTCTGGCCCTCAGTGATCTTCTAGGACAAAAAAAAAATGGCACTAAGCCTTTCTGATCCCCCTGCATTACGGTTACCTGGCTCAGAGACTCTTTTGCAAAGCAGTTTCGTGATGATTCATAACTCAGTGCTCACAGAAACATAACAACATGTGGCAACACAGATCGAGTATCCTCACCTCAAAGTGGAGATGCAGGATGATGGCAGCAGTGGTTAGCGAAAGCAAATGACTCTCAAGAGTAATTGAGATGGGAATGAAAAAGCAAACAAGCAAGTGTGCGTTACATTTGTACTCTGGCATCAGCCAATGTATTACTGCCAAGCTGATGAGGTACTAACGTGTTACTCATGTTACTCTTATTATACCAGAAAATCTTTACTGTGAAGATGAGTCATATCTTCTGGTAAGTCTGCAATAACCCTTACCTTTGAATGCTCTGAAAGAAAGTCTGGGAGGAGGTAGACCTGTGCAAGAAGCTCTGTGTAGTCACGGCAACGGAAGTAATATATGTGAGAAAGGATACTTTCAAGAGAGAAAGTCTCCAAAGCTTTCAGATTATCTGAGAACAAACAAACAGATGAGTAAATGAGTCAGAAGTCTGTACTAGCACATTGCTACTTTCATCACTCTACTGAACTATGCCTTCCACATATAGCAACAGCAAAACTCCCAGAAACGGAAACAGTCAAGGTAAAGAGTGTGGGAAACATACCTTCCATCTGGCTTGAAAGTCAAGGAGGTGGTGAGCAGATGCTATCTCAGCATTTGCACACAGATACACCGGAGCCTCCAAGGGAGTGCTCCAAAAATGAAAGATTTATTTCTGAAAGAGTAACTTTTCCAGTAAATAATTTTCAAGCCAGAACACCACCAGAGGATAACAGTGACTATTAATCATCCATTGTTTAATGTACAGGCAGTGGCTCATTTAATACAGTGTCCTTTTACCTCTGTTCAAACAGAAGTTTGCCTCATAAAATACCCCAAGAGTAACATAAAAGTTGTGTCAGTATCCCTAACAGGCTGATGACTTATAGAACAAAACTCTTCATTAAATGCAAACTAGCTATATGGACCTTATGAAGGAGCTGAATTCCACCTACAGTTTTACAATATGGGGCTTCAGCAGCAATATTGCTTTAAGAAATTCTGCCATTCCTCTTCTCTTTCCCCAGCTGCTCTTCCTGTCCCTGAGTCGCAGCACATTATCCCTCAGTTTTGCTGACAGAGTTCTGTTTGGGTTTTGCTGTACATTTAATCACTAAAGCGATCCGTTTAAAAAAAAAAAGGCAAAAACCCCCACAAATCGTCATGTAGAAAGAGAATTATTCTTAAAGTAGATGAGCTCAGTGTGCAGCATGGCTCCACAGTCATACTGACGCAGTTCAGGGTATGATACACACAGGTGGATATAAAAGGCTGGCAGCAAGAACTCCATAAGCCAGCACTGCTGCTGAAACCCTCAAACTGTAAAACCGTATCCTACGAGACACTCACTTCACTCAGATCCTACTTTACTAGGCAGAAGGAAATGACTTAGCAAAGTACCTTCTTCTTGATGAGCTTCAGCAATTAGCTGGCAATGCTGCACACAGGCAGTTGCAATATCCACTACTCTGTCCACCATAAAACTTCCTTCAGTATCAATGAACACTGCTTCTCCAGCTACACCTCCGAAGCATTCTGGGATCTGTACGTCTACTGCCAACTGCATACTGCCATGGGAAACAGCAAAAAGGCATAAATATATATATATTTATATATCACAAAGCTCTCCCCTCCCAACTCACTCCTGAAGTGATGTTTCTGTCGAGGAATACATGGAACAGGAAGCAGTACAGCCATTATCATGATTATATTTATAATGTTGCAGAAGAATCAGAGATTGCAGTCATGACAACAAGAAAAATGAACTCTCTTCACAGTTAAACTAAACAAAGTGATTCTCAGTAGCACAAAAGTAATCTAAAAATAAAATACCATAGCTGTGTTTTCCCAACGCCAGGCGCTCCACAGATCTCAGTAATTTTTGTTAGTTGCACACCACCTCCCAGAATATTGTCTAGTGCTGAACAGAAGGTGATGATGAAGCCCTGGGCTTGCTCTTCTTCCAGAAGTTCCAGTGCTGTGCACTTTCTGGTGGCACCCGATCCCCCCGCAGCCCTTGCTGCATCACCGTGGGCT